TATATATTTATTTATTATATAGAGTTTATTTTTAATGAAATATGTACAGGCCAGATAGGCATTTTGGAAGCTTTAGGCTCTGTAAGCATTAAAATGGCAAAGGCCACTATGAACCTGTGGTAAATTCATGCAAGTAAATATAAAGGTGCATGGATAAAACAAAAAAACCCCAACAATAAAAAGGTAATAATAACAATAATAAATTCCAGTGACCCTCGTGTACTAAAGGTGACAATCTCTTTTGTGCCCATATTATTGTACAAGTATGCACACCACTCATGACACTGAGTCCTCACCCTTCTGACTGCTTGTTTCATAGCTTACCCCCAGAGGATTAAAGAAAAAACTGGGTCTTCAACTTTTTTTTCTGTCTCTGTAATACTTCCTCTCTGATAAAGTGACTTCTTACATCGTTGTAAACTTCACAGCTGTGGAAAATATAGGAGTTGGAATATATTCTACTTGTTAAAACCTATTGCAGATTATACCAAAGCTAAATGATAAATATGCTTTTTTTTTCCTTTCCCTAAAGCAGAATGCCAGAAACAACATAAGTAATATCAACAATTGTACTAATTTTAAGATTCCACAAACAGCACATAATGGTTTCAGAGGGCAAGAACCAGGTTAACAGGATCACTCTTGTAAACATGTTTATTTGTGCACTTGACTATCTACTATGAAATTATGCAAGTTCCATAGGGGTCATTGTAACATCTTTTATGGAAAATTGCTTTCAGTGTGAACTGTCATAATACATGATATTAGCACCCTTCCTAAAGTAAAACTTGCAAAATGAAACTAATAAATCTCTATCAATAATGACAATGAGGGGGACAGTATTAGACTTGTTGTTTTTTATTTTTTTTTCCTAAAGTACGTTTAAATATTCATGAACTGTAAGTGAGCTGACAGTATGGAATATTTAAGGAACTGTAGCATTTTATCTTAAGCACATAAACATGTTGATTAGCAGTGACCATTTGGGTATTAACCCTTAGGAAGATGCATTTTTTCCTCAGTACCCTGAAAGAAGAGAACAAAAAGAGAGAGAGAAAAATCATGTAAGGTCCATATGCCAATGTGTTTTGTAGGTGTTGTATCCCTTAGGATTTGAATCTGGTGCCATGAAGTGTAACCTTGGACCTGTCGGGAGCACGGCTGGTCCTGACACGTGTCCACAGAGGCATGGAGCCTGAGCGGAGACGTAATTTGAAGGAGTGATACATAAGTTTGCAGCCTATTCCTAATTAAATAATTTTTCCATAAGGCACTCTTGTCCATGTGATAGATGTTATTTGAAATGTAATTCTGTTCTGGAATAACCTCTGGCTCAGTGTCCTGAACAAACGTGACCTCTCTATAGGATAGAGGGATAGGAGATAGGAGGGGCTGTGTCCTAACGAGCGATATCAGTAATCTTAAATAAAATGCGGCATTTTATTATAATTGTTTATGAATGATAAAGATACGTAAATTACATTAATGTGTAGGATACACTTAGACATATTTGTCTAGGGACTGTTATTGCCTGGGAATTTACAGCCTTTGACTGCAGCCCACAAATCTGATTTTAACCCTTCGGAGCTGCTGGGACCTGCAGGCAGTTTGGGAAAGGAGAAGAACAAAAGCTTCTGGGGAGGACCAGGGTTCATTGGTCAGTGTTAACCAGAGCAATCCTACTACAACGAAGGGAGGTTACAAATCTCTGCTTTTTCAGTAAATCCGACATACACCAGGAAATTAATCGCAAAGGTTAGAAATCCTGTGAGTTGAGACCACGATACTAGCCCACAGTTTGAGTCTTAATGTTAAATCAACTTAGATTTTTATTCATAGGGAAATCATTACTACTAGTTACCATGGTTTTTTTTTTTTTTGTATTTTTCTAAAGAAAGGATTAAACCCAAGAAAAATGTTATGAGTTTATGGCAGTCCATATAAATAAACTGTAACCAATTTACTCAAATAACCCATAACGGTGTGTAAATACTGACTTTATGTAAATATAGAAACGTGTAATTTAACATAGGCATTATTGCGAGACTGATGGTCCAGGGGTTGGCAGCTTGCCACTCCCTGCAGGTTCACTGGGTCAAACTCAGCCTGTTTCGGGTAGTGAACAACAGATTCTGTTCAGTCGCTTGTGTAAAATGAGCTATTTCTGTTCGTTTTCTGGCAAGGGATGGGCAAAGCCATCGTCATCTTGGGTGCTGCCAAGGTGTGAAGGGGTACGGATGCCCTCCTGCTCCTTCTGTGATCCTGCTAAAACGGGGCTGGAGAGAGCTGATGTGGCAAAGCGGAGAGGGCTGCAGTGCTGCTCCTCCTGTGCTGGGGACAAACAAAAGTCTTCATTTTCTAGTGCTGCCCATCTGGCACCTTTCTTGAGCACTAAAATTCACTTGAAGAAAAATCTGAGGGAAAAAACCCCAAAGAACATTTGGTGTTATTTACTTGATATTCTGTAATGGTGTGTAAATACATACAGAATTCTGTAATTTGTATAAATACATTGCTATAGAATTTTGAAAATGGGTATGGTTTGCTTGATGTCCCTTCAGAGCATTTTCTTATAACCATACACATGTGTAAGAATGGGGTTGCAAAAAGATGCTCTTTCTCATTCCTAGAAAAGGTGTGAGAAAATTCCAGGAAGACCAAAACCATCAATATTTTCTATGTCTTTTTGCTAAATTAAAAAAAAAAAAAGCAGGGGATATGTTTTTTTGGCAAGAATTGCATTAGCATTTCACCTGAAACAGATCTGCCTGGCAAGCAGCATGGGCAAAAAAGGTGATGGAGATTCAGAGCAATGGCATTGTGTGGGTTGGTTTTGAGCTGCGTCTGGTAACGTGTCAGGTGGAGTGGATGAAACCTAGCAGAGCTGGGCAGCGAAGAGAGCAGAAAGAGAAAAATCAGTGAAAATTGTCCTAAATTGTCACCAATCGGTGCAGAACTTCAACTGTCTGCCAACTGGAAGGAAAAAAGATGCCTTTCATAAATGACTGGGTGCAGTGTGCAGGCTGGAGATGGGATTTTCTGGTGTAAAATGTCAAACATTGCTATTGTCCCCCTGGAAAAAAGGATAAATGTGTGTTTAATAAACACACAAACAGGAGGGAGTTGAAGAGACTGATTTTGAGGCAGTGTCTAAGTTTCTTTGAAGACAGAGTGTGGCAGGAGGTATGAGAAGATGTATCTGGAGCACGTCCTTCAGAGGACCTTGCATCTTCTTAGCTTATGCTCTGCTCTGTATACTCTTGCATCAACTACAGAAGCCAATCCAGGGTCTGGCTCTGTTTCCCATGATTATAGCAGTAGAAATAGATGGTCTGACCCATGCTAAATACCATTTTGTGTGAACTCCAGTCCCAGGTAGTGAATTCTCACAAGGTTTCCATAAGGTACATTGGCAACCGTGGAGACGGGGATATGGCCAGGTTCCTTACAGCTGCTGTTTGTTTTGCAGAAATGTGAGGTTCTGGATTCTTTAAAGTTTTGGTGAAATCTTGGAAACTCAGCCCCTGCTCATGTAGCCGTGTGATTGGAGGTAGGGAATCTGGGGGAAGAAGTAACCAACAAAATCATCCTCGATATTTTTCTCCACATGACACCTCATTTACCAATCTAAGAATAGAAACAAGAAGACTTTAGTCTTTCAGACTTCTGCCTCTGTTTTTAAACTGTTGGAGCTCTCCATGCATTGCTCACAGGTCAGTCCTGTCCTTCCTTGCTGTTATTTATCACCTTACCATAACACTACAAGGTGGTTTTGCCATCTGGCCCCTAAATAGGTACCAGTAATAAAACTTCATCTCATTTTGTCAAGAAACTGGACTGGCTCACCCTAGAGTTTGCTGCTGAACGGTTTGGCACTGTGAAGTAAGCAGGGCATGGCTGATTAGCATCTTAAATTTAGGAGTTACAAACTATATCCGTCAAGGATAAAAAGGACAACAGCCCTTAGCAAAAACCAAAGAAATACTATTGCACAAGGTGTCTTGTCAGCTGTGTGCTTGACATGAAGTTTGCAAGCAGAAAATGTTGGTTGTTTTTAATGGTCAGGAAGTTTAAAATGAGAATAATAATCAACTTCCACCTGCAAAGGAGTGTATAAAACTCAATCTTGTTGCCTTTTCCCCCAATGGTTATATATCTTTAGTAGCTTGTGTGCATTTTCTTCTACCTGGTGATATTGGAGAAGACTCTTTTCATTCATTATTTTTAAAGTCCAGCTGTCTTTGTATAATTTTTCAGAGTTACTCTGGCCTGAACCATGTGATCCTGGTTTAGGACAGAGGATCCCATGCATTACAAAGATGCTGCTGTTGTGCTCAGAGTGGCCGGTATAGTGCATAGGATGACCTTGTCTTATTGTAGCTATCACATGTAGGGCTATGTTATTTGTTTTTGTCTTTTCAAATGATCCCCAGGTCATGCAGGCTTTATTAAACCCACATCCGTCTCTTGAACAGAGGCTTACAAATATCTTGTCATGGAAAGCAGTGTATAAAGTAAAATTTATCTCCATATTT